TCTCACCATCCAAACAGGAGAGAGAGAGATGGGTACCTGTCCTCACTGAGAGAGAAGAACCTGAGCAGCCCAGTGACGCCGCTTACTGCTAACTTGAGAAGTTGCGGCGTTTTGGATCCGTTCCCATTTCCTGGTGTAGCTGAGCAGCATCGTGTGCCGTGGGCTTTCTGCGGGATGAACGGCGACCGATGGGTCATCCAGTTACGATTTACAGCGGGATTTGGACAACAAATTCCCGCCATTTTCCCAGACCCACTCAAGCTTCTTTCTTTCCACCCATTCCATCTTTATCCTGCCAATGCTTCCGTTCTCTGGCGTACGAGTCCGACCGACTAACGCAACTAAACTACGCTACGAATATGGGCTTCAGTTGGGCTGTCAAATACAACTCTGGGCTTAGTTTTTCCGAGTAGCCTCGTAAGTACAAATTACGAATTACTTGGTATATTTTTGGTTTTAAGGAAATGGAGGATTGGAGAGGAAGGGCAGTGATAGATTTTTTTTATTGATATTATTTCTCAAGTTTTAATTTAATTAGCTAAAAGTATCATCCTTCCTTAGCTTCTCCTCCCCTTCAATTAAACATATTAGATCAATAGAGTTGAATTAATATGTTCATGTAGTGAAAAAGAGAAGGATCTAATAAATTCTCAACTATCATAGCTTCATCAAACACATGAGAAGGTGTGCAATTATTTTATTTTATGTATGTTGTTATTATTTAAATTTTGTACATTTAAGTAGTGATAAATGAAAATTTGCTATTAAGGGCAAATTTGGGTTTATGTTTGTCGATGCTTGTTAGATGAATGGGTAGAGCTGCAATGCTTCTTTGGAAACTTGATCTGGGCGCGGGCAAAAGGAAAACTTGTTAGCGCATGTGGCATACTCACTCTTATACTTGAATGAGCAATATTTTAGTGAAGGTGAAAAGAGGACAATAATGGAGGAGAGGAAGGTTGAAGAAGAAAGGGGTAGAGGGAATTGGGAGTTTGGAGTTACCTTAGAACCTATGCAAGAATTCCTCTTTCACAATGGTGAGGTAGCATGCTTTGCTAGACATAAACCGGTTAAGTTCATGCAGTTGTTGGGGTTTGACCTGCAGAAAGTAGGACAACATGTATGACTGGTAGTGGAAAGGTACAATGTGGTCAGAAAATAAAGAAGGACCACCTGCAGAAGTGCTAGCTGTAAATGTAAGTGCTGACATGAATGTGGGCAGCCTCCAAGTTCAGGTCAAGCTTGACTTTATGTGAGCCCTACTATCATTTATTTCTTTTGTCTTGGTCACTAAGTCTTGAGTCTTGGGTGTGCTTTGGTTAGCCCAGTCATTATTACCTAGGCTAGCCAAATTAGCTTTGCCAATTTCAGCTTGGGTTTTGGGTGTTCTAGGTTCTTAGATGAGACCCCAAGAACCATCATTTAGCTTGATCAGGTTTCTTGATAGGAGCTTTCTGTACCAGACCTGAGGTATTCCTTAGCTTGTGCAAGCTACAACCTAAGTCCATCATCAGGAACAATTGAATCATGCCACGTGTAAGAACAAAAAAAGAGCATATTACCTAATATCAAGTGGTATTCTTCATTGTGATAGTAATATCCCATCACAAAAAAATTTAGAAGGTTGTATTGTATCCAACTCTTTGTTTATTCAGAGATTAGGTCTATTCAAAGTGAAATGATACCATGCCCTTAGTTGATCAAAGATGTTGAGGATTTTATTGGAAGGAAAACCCAATAAAGGAATAGGAAATTTATTAACACAATCACCATATAGATTATAAAAGAAAGTTATAACGTTTTTCCTTAAACAAGTGTACTTGGAATAACATAGAGTTTATCAACATAATCTCAAGTAACAAATAAAAGGTAGTAGCAGTAAAAGAAAAGGAAACTTATTAACTCAATCCTTAATTAAGTTTCAAAAACCAAACTAAATTATTTCAGCAAGTCCTTTGTTCAATCCAGAAGCTCGTAGCTGGTCCGAAGTCCCAAACCCACAAAGTTCCTACATGTGTTTCTGGGATTGGAATCTGTAAGAGAAGAAGAAAAATAAATATAAAGTCAATATGATAAGCATTTAGGCAGTAAGTAAACTAGCATCATTATAGGTTGGATTAAGCATGCAATTAAATCATAAGATTGTATGAGTGTGTGCCTAAAGATGAAGAACCGGGTAAGGAATTGCTAGAAAGCTCAGAAGTCTATATTTACTATCCATCTAGGCAGTACAAGGATATATTAGAATATGAGGGAAAAACTTTGGTGGAATGGAGAGGGATATAGCAGTTTATATGACTAGGTGCCTGACTTAGTGAGAATATTGTTACTGCAGGGGTATTGCAGAATGGAAATGGGAGAATATTGCTATGGATTGTGTGATGGGTTTGCTTAGGACAAGAGCACAGTTGGACACCATTTGGGTTATTGCAGGTGGGCTAAGTAAGTCAGCATGTTTTCCACCAGTTGGAGCTCATCAGCTAACTATTCTTTGAAAAAGCTAGCTAAGTTATACTTCCATGGTGTACCAGTGAGTATTGCTTTACATAGATATCTTAGATTGAGGATGAGTTCACCTTAATCTCATTCTCAAACTGATGGACAAGCAGAGATGGTTAGATTTTTGAAGATATGCTCAGAGCTTGTACCAAGTATTTACCAGGGAAATGGGATTATGATTTACTACTAGGAGAATTTGGCTATAACAATCTAGTAAAGAAATAGCTCCAAGAATTTAGTTGACTTGGTATCTTTTAATTAGCCACAACTCCTATGTACAAAATAAAAAAAAAAAAAAAAAAAAAA